TATATATATATATATATATATATATATATATATATATATATATGAAAAAAGCCAGTGGTTTGGTGCCTAGAAATGAAGACGCAATTTTAGAAGCAGATGTGAACACCATGGTAACTATAATAGAAGAGGGTTTTTTTGAGGGTGTGGGGGATAGAAGCAGTCAATAATCCTAATACTAAATAAACACCTCCAGGTCACATAAACCCCGAGCATAGCTGTGTGCACTAGAATTCTCACGAAAAGCTTACAAAATTTTAAATACATACTCAGTAGACTGAAGACACAGTACGGGCGTCATGGCCCCTGGGGCATTGCCTGCGGCTGTGCACACTGACAGACAGGGCCAGGGAACCAGCCCCGCACTCACACAGGTATCCCTTCCAGCAGGCCGCCCAGCAGTGACACCTCAGGCTGTAATCACCCGGACTGGCAGGTGTGAGCAGGCACAACCAGGGGAGCGCCTTAAAAACCGGGGAGAAAGGGAGGGAGAGGGTCGGTCATTTGGGGACAGCGGCGAGCTCCCTGGCATGGTCTCTCCTTGCCTCCAAAACAGTGCAGGACCTGAATTCACTCCGGAGCTGCTGGGAAGATCTGCATTATGCCAAGGCGCCAGGCCAACTCACCTCGACAAAATAAAAGCAGGGCAGGAGGGTGACGCTGTCCTTGATCACTTTGCCCTTTGGCCTCTCCTTCGCCGACATCCCGCCCGCCTGACCGGGTCCGCGTCCTCCCCCGGGCGAGGTGTGCACTGCGCAGCCCAGGCGAGCTGCCTCCTCCAGCCGCAAGCGCCCGGCGCCGCTGATGTCACATTCCCCGCGGGCACCGCTGGAGCCAGCGCGCTGCGTGCAGCGCCCCCGCCTTCTCCCCGCCCCTCTTTGCAGTAAACTAGCGGTTCCCCGAGCCAGCAGGTCCTTTCTCCCTGGCTCCAGCTCTGGCTCTTGCTAGAGCGGTACAGCTCCCTCCTCCAAGCTGTTGCTGCAGTGGCTTCTCCTCTCCGTCACCCTCCCTTGGCTCTCCACCACCCTGGCAAGGCTCTAGGACTGTCGACGTCAAGGATCGGAAAGGAAAGAGGCACTCCAGGTTTCTGCAGGAGCGAGGCAGAGAAGCTGAGGCACCTGGTCCCCTCCCTGGAAGCCTCCTGTGTTGCTCTAGGAAAGCAAACTTCCAGACTCCTGGAGTCTGCACCCCGACCAGTGCACCCACTTACATCAGGAAAACCGGCCTTCACCTGAATGAAAACTAAAATGCGTATAGTGCTGAAAACTAGGCTGTGGCGGGAACTCGCTCAGCCTCGTAGCTGGCTGTTTCCCAGGAATGACTGTCCCCCCTGACGACTTCTGCCTAGGAGACTTCTGGCCACCCACTAGCAACCTTGGGGACCTAGTCTTCCTGAAAAGAGGCAGTTGACTTGACGAAAGACATCCTCACTGAGCCCAAAGTGCAGGACCTGTTTTAACTTCACTGTCACATCCCTACAGCAAAGTCAGAAAGATGGATGTCTTCAGACGTTTTAAAACCTAAATGAGTCCTTCGCTTTTTGGCAATGTGCATGTCCCCCAAAGCCTCGTGTGCTCACAGGTGGGGCTCTGGGGAAGTGATGGGATCATGAGTGTGCAACACTTAGTGGATTGGCCCACCATGAGTTTATAATTAAATAGGATTTGGGAGGTGAAGCCTGATTGGAGGAGGTGGGTCACTGGGACGTGGCCTGGAAAGGTGTATCTCCCTCCCTTCTCCCTTGATCTCTCTCTCTCTCTGCTGTGCACTGCCACCAAGCCCCTCTGCCATGCCGCCCCCTGCCTTGGAGCCAGCCATCTACAGACTGAAACCTCCTCATACTATGAGCCCAAATAAACCTTTCCTGCTTTAGACTGTGGATATCTGGTATGTGTTTCAGTGACAAGAAAGTAACTGACACATTTAGTAGTTTCCATAGTTTGCCACTATGATATTCATACCTTCTCACTTCTTAAATCTTTTAATTTGCAACTAATAATTATTTTATTCAGAAACAGAAGTTATAGAAGAGATCTATCATTTTCCAGAACTGGCTACTTGTCCTCTCTGCTCCCTCCCCCAAACCCACCTCTGGCTCCCATTGTCTCTTGCATAGAATGGCACAATGAGTAGCCTCCTAACGGTTCCACCACCTCTGCCCTGCCTACCTCCACAACTTCCAAACTGTTCCTTACACAATAGAAGAATGATCATTTGAAAAGCAAATCCGACTGTGCCATTTTCTTCTCTAAATCTTCCAAGAGTTTTCTACTGTGTTTACAGAAAATCCAAGCTCCCTTGGTTCCTACCTGTTATCCCTGCCTGGGTCCCAGACTTCACTCATATGCTTCAGAACCTCAAGGTTTGGGCAGCCCCAGCCTAGCTACCTCATAGTTCCTTTGCTCACAAATTCTATTCTATCAATATTGCATGGTTAACTCCTCACTCATTTCATGCCTCTCCTCAAATCTAATTTCTCAGGGAAGGTTTCTTTGACATACTTTCTAAGTAGCATTCATAACTCCATTACTCTTTATTCCTTTATATTAGTTTTGCTTTGTAGAACTTATCACTTTTATAGTTTCTCAAGCATTTCTTTAGTAATTTGCCTTGGCCACAAGATTATAAACCCCATAAAATTGAGCATATTTTCATCACTTAGTAACTGGAACTGCGTGTTCCAGTTAACTAAGGGTGGATCATCAGTAAATGTGAAGAAATGAATGAATCGATTTGGTTAAATGATGTCTATAAAATTATGTAGTGTAAGTTTTGTACACATATCGTATGTTCAGTAATTGTTCATTGATTCCATTTGTTAACTATTATGTGATTAATCAATAACTCTACTTCTTATTATTTGTGTGTGCATGTGTGAAGGATTTTGTTCAACTTTCTTGATACCTTAATAACATTTATATATAATGTCTTACATTGGGTTAGGAGTTTGATAAGCATTACTTACTTTATCTTTTGATGTTAAAAAGAACATAGTGAGGTCAAGAGGGAAAAGTTTATCTCTATTTTATAAGATAATATCTTGTAGACAGGACTCAAAGATTGAAAAAATAAATAAGTAAAAGGTTGAGTCAAAGAATGTGAGATTTGGAGTGAGATAAACTAGAGTTCAAGCCCAAGATTTGCAATGTTTCAGATCTGCTCTGGATTCAAGTCACTTACTTTCTCTGAGCTTCAGTTTTCTAATGTGTGCAATGACAAAAGTGTTGATATTCTTCAATGCCATGCTCTATAGCTCCATTTTGACAATATATGTGAAAGTATTTGGCAAATTGTAAAACCGGTTCATCCTCTCATTTATCCATCCATTCGACTTAAATATACTTAATGATCCCCTACAATGTGAAAGTCCCTTTTCTCCTTAGATAGTTATGGCAGAAAGGAATAGATATAGTTCCTGACCTGTACAATTTGCAAGCATTAAAGCAGGTATAGAGAGTAGAGATTGGTGATAAATTAGTGATAATAAAACACGTGATGTCCACTGTAGAATAGGCACTGTTACAACACTTTTTACATCTCCTTTAATTCTCACAAGGTCATTATAAATTGAGTACCATTAACTGTCACATTTTACAGGTAAAGGAACAGACTCAGAGGAGCTGACTATTATTATATGCAAGAACAGCACATATATAATTAATGGGGCTGAAACTTTTGGATCCAGAAGGTTGTTCCACATTCTGTGATCTTAAGAGTTGCACATACTGCCTCGTTTAACAAACATGTAATGACATCTGTGATATACACTAAAGACACAATTATGGTGCAGTAGTCATTGCAATGAGAAACAAGTTCTTAAGTGAGGTGGTCAAGGGAGGTCCACTCCTTGAGGAGAATTGACAGTGAAGCCACTTATAGCATAGAAGTTCCCGGAGCACCTTATTGAACTAAAAACTATTCCCCATCTCATCTTCATGCAAAGCCATAAATGAGCCAAGAGAGAACTTGCATGTTGAGTACTGCCTCAGATGTGCAAATATCAGCACTTCATAATAATAACATTAGGAATAATTTAATGTACTTTCCAGAATTTGAACATTTTCAAGGGAAATCTTGTTCTAGTATATTCAAATGAAAAATGGCACTGAAAAAGCAGCACCTGACATTTCCCAAGACAGAGGACTTCACAGCATAAATAATCTGGTAAAAAAAAGCACCAGAAATTAATTTGATATCATTATTAAAACGGTCAGCCTCTTTAGATAAGAAAAAGCAGCTTTCCTCTGTATTGGTTTTGGGTACCCACAGAAAATATAAACTGTCTTTCAGCTTATTGGCAACTGTTAATCCTGAAGGTATTTACATAACATTTTAAAAATTAATTTTATTGAAACATTTTAAATATATATTAATAACATTCATCATATGGAATTTTATATGTACATGATATATTTTAATTCTTCTTTTTATCCCAATTCTCTCCCCTCCCTTCAACCTCTCTTCCTCTCTTTATTTACAAAAGCTTTGTTTCCATTTTTTCCTTCTATTCTTTTTTTTTCTTTCCCCTTCCTTCCTTTCCCCCTCCCCCCTCCCTAGTTCACCTTCTCATTTGAACATTTTCTTCCTTTTTCACAATATCTATTATACATTTTGGTCCTTATTTACACTTTCAGTTTCTCACAACAGAGAAACCATGTGATATTTGAACACGTGTCTGATTTATTTCACTTTAGAGTATGGTCTCAAGATGCATCCATTTATCTAGAAATGTCTGAAATTTATCCTTCTTTATAGCAAAGTAGTAACTCATTGTATTAAAAAACCATACCTTCTTTATCCATTCATCGGTTGATGGATATTTGAGCTGCTTCCAAATTTAGCTACAACTGTGGTGCTGCAACATGGGTGTGCATATATCACTGTGGTATGATGCTTTTAATCTTTTTGTGGAGATATCAAGAAGGGGGATAACTGTGTCAAATGTAACCTCTAGTTTTATGAAGAATCTCTACACTAATTTCCACAGTGGTTGCACCAGCGTACACTCCCACCAACAGTGGAGAAGGGTTCCTTTTCCCTATAACCCCACCAGCATTTATTATTGGTTGATTTCTTGATAATAGCTATTCTTTCTAGAGTGAGTTGCAATTTAAGCCTTGTTTTAATTTGCATCTCTCAAATGGCCAGTGATGTTGAACACTTTTTTCATATATTTATTTGTTATTTGTACTTCTTCATCTGAGAAGTGTGTATTCATCTCAGATGCCCATTTTTTGATTAGTCTTTAAATTTGGGGGTTTGATTTTTTTATTTAGTTCTTTACATATTCTCAATATTAGTCTTTTTGTCTTGGGAAGAACTGGCAAATAACTTTTCCTACTGTGTGGACTGAATATGATATTTTTGAAGGTTATAAAAAATTTTATGAGTTGTGGTCAAAATATATGGTGAATTTAAAAAATGTATTATAATAAAAAACACATTGTCATTAATCTCCCTCAAAATACTGCCCCTCACTTCTAACCCAATTATATCATTTTTGAACTTTCTGAAGTAGTTCTGTAAGTCTTCTTTTGTGAATGTCATCCTAAGTTGTGATCATAAATGCAGCAAATGACACTGCCCAATGTTTTCGAACAGAAAGGCAGGCAGGCTTGTAATAACATTACTGTGCATTTTAATCCACTTTATTCACTGGATCTGGCACCATGCAACTTCTGGTTCTTCTCCAAAATCAAAATGATCGTGAAAGGTAAAGATTTGGAGTTGATTCAAGACATCAAGGCTGCCACGACAGTGCAAGTAAAATCATGGCCAATCGTGGGCGTTGAGAGAATGGAGAGACCCAGCAGGGCTCCTCGTGGTACAGGTAAAGGGAGTGATTGATGTCTTTGTCTTAGGCTGGTTAATTCTGATGATGGGTGACTGTTGTGTTTTTTACATGCCTCCAAACTAGCTGCATAGCAACTGGGGTGAAAATGTA